CATTAAACGAAAGAAGATTGGTGCAAATCAGCTATTAAAGTGGAGATAATTGATACAAAATATCTATTAAGGAGGAGAAGGTTGATGCTAATCGGTTATTAACAAAGAGTTATTCAAACCAAGCAGCTATTAAAGAGGCGATTGATGATGCAAAGTAGCTATTGAAGATATGAATATTGATGCAAATCCACTATTGAAGAGGAGAAAATTGATGCAAATCAGCGATTAAAGAGGAAAATATTTATGCAAATCAGCTGTTAAAGAGGAGGATATTTATACAAATCAGCTATTTAAGGGAAAATAAATTTATACAAAATATCTATTTAGGAGGAGAAGATTGATGAAAATTTGTTATTAATCAAAAGCTATTTATGCCAAGTAGCTATTAATGAGGGGAATATTGATACAAAGTATCTATTTAAGAGGAGAATATTGATCTAAATCAGCTATTCAAGAGGAGATCGTTGATGCAAAGTAGATATTGAAGAGATATAAGAGATTGAAGTAGCTATTGATAATTAATGTATAACTTATAAAAAGTTTTAAAAATAAAATGATTGCTGGCTTAAAGCAATTAAATCAGGGCGTTATGGGTAAAAAATTATGAAAAAATGATCGAGGATAATAATTGGTGCAAGATAGCTGCTAAATAGAGATTATTACTGTAGTCATTTCTAACATTTATACCTATGTATGCTAATAATGAGACTAACTATTAAAATAATGAAACTGTAATTGAATGTGAAATTAATATTCCTTCAAACTATTACCACAGTAGATAATTAAAAAAGTTTTATCCCAGCAGTGTTCAGTTGGTTGCTGCCCAGATGTCTGGTGTGTTTAAGCAGTGTAAGATAAGAAAAATAACAATTGTTTTTTTAACTATTGGGTAATTCAACATTTTCTTAAAATCAATCAAAACAGTTTCTCCGTTTTCTCATGTTTGTCTCATGTAATAAAAAAAACTACTGTTGCAAACATTCTCAAGGTTAAAGTTACTTTAAAACAAACCTGTTTATTCAGAACACAGAATTATCAAAAAAAAACTACATGTTTAACTCGACTGTAATCCAAAAACTAAAACTTTCTGAATGACTAAAATTGTGGTGTCTTGTGTCTTTTAAGACCGAATTGAAATCATATGGATATGAAGATGAGCAGCATAAACCACCAATCACTATGATTTAGTTTTTTGTGTTAAAGATTTAGCATGGAAAATATAATACAATTCATTTTTATTTTTTGTATTTCGATGTCAATGGCATTTTAAATTCAGCTAGACCTATTAGTATGGTAATTGACAATTTTGTTTTGTTCAGATTTATAAAACTACTAGCTGTACCCACGGGCTTTGCCCCGTTCAACTTCATAAGTATTCGCATGGCTCAATCACGTCCCGGTTTGAAGTTCGTTCGCTACGCTCACTCACCTTTAGGTTGGAGCTCGTTCGCTGCGCTCACTTGTTTTCAGGTTAGCTCGTTCGCTACGCTAACTCGCCTCCAGGTTGATGTTCGTTCGCTACGCTCACTCACCTTTTGATTGCAAATTAGCTGTTGTCATAAATTTTAAAAAGTCATCCCTTTTATTGTTTATAACACTTTGATAAAGGTCCGTGAAGTTGGCGTACCCATATTAGCGTATCCACTTTTGATCATACCAATCGTTAGTTCATCGTTAGTTCTTGATAGTTCCCAAATTTTGTCGTTAGTTCTCAAAAAATAAAAAAGTTATAGCCGATAATAAGTGGGTACGCTAACTTCACACTTCCGGGTTCTAGCGCACGCCGTTTCCTGATGAGAAATGTTTACATCTATATATCAATCGTTAGTTCTTCGTTAGTTCTCGATAGTTCTCCAATATTAACGTTAGTTCTCAAAAAATAAAAAAGTTACGAGGCATACAAAGTGGGTACCGGTATGCCAACTTCACAATTATAGAATTTCCAGCGGGCACACTTTTTTGAATAAAAATGCTTACATCTATATACCAATCGTTAGTTCTTCGTTAGTTCTCGATAGTTCTCCAATATTAACGTTAGTTCTCAAAAAATAAAAAAGTTACGAGGCATACAAAGTGGGTACCGGTATGCCAACTTCACAATTATAGAATTTCCAGCGGGCACACTTTTTTGAATAAAAATGCTTACATCTATATACCAATCGTTAGTTCTTCGTTAGTTCTCGATAGTTCTCCAATATTAACGTTAGTTCTCAAAAAATAAAAAAGTTACGAGGCATACAAAGTGGGTACGCCAACTTCACAATTATAGAATTTCCAGCGGGCACACTTTTTTGAATAAAAATGCTTACATCTATATACCAATCGTCAGTTCTTCGTTAGTTCTCGATAGTTCTCCAATATTAACGTTAGTTCTCAAAAAATAAAAAAGTTACGAGGCATACAAAGTGGGTACGCCAACTTCACAATTATAGAATTTCCAGCGGGCACACTTTTTTGAATAAAAATGCTTACATCTGTATACCAATCGTTAGTTCTTCGTTAGTTCTCGATAGTTCTCCAATATTAACGTTAGTTCTCAAAAAATAAAAAAGTTACGAGGCATACAAAGTGGGTACGCCAACTTCACAATTATAGAATTTCCAGCGGGCACACTTTTTTGAATAAAAATGCTTACATCTATATACCAATCGTAAGTTCTTCGTTAGTTCTCGATAGTTCTCCAATATTAACGTTAGTTCTCAAAAAATAAAAAAGTTACGAGGCATACAAAGTGGGTACGCAAACTTTACAATCATACAATTTCCAGCGGGCACAGTTTTCTGACTATAAATGCTTATATCTATATCTACATGTGTCTACACACATGTGTTGTTTTCCCACCAACTGTTCGTTTCGAGAATGGCAAAAATATTCCTTCACTTTGATGTGTGCAAAAATACCGGCAATGAACGGAAAACGAAAACACGAGCACGAGCATTTGCTGTCATACTACTCGCGATTCGGCGAGTTGCTGTTCTGTACTTTGCGTGGGTACAGTCTGGAGCCGGCTAAAGGCATGGAACTTGAATAAAATCCCTTTTTTTCAAATCATTAAACTAAATTTCAATTAATATTTTATTATAACTAATTTATCATAAGATAACAATATTTATTCTCGGTATATATTAATGACCTAACACTTTTAATTTTGAACGTATTTTGAAACTGTTTAAGAACGATGCTGTGAATGTTTGAAAGAATAGTTGAGGGTACGTGTTTGAGAAAAATCGAGAACTAACGAAGAACTAACGATTGGTATATAGATATAAGCATTTATAGTCAGAAAACTGTGCCCGCTGGAAATTGTATGATTGTGAAGTTTGCGTACCCACTTTGTATGACTCGTAACTTTTTTTATTTTTGAGAACTAACGTAAATATTGAAAAACTATCGAGAACTAACAAAGAACTAACGATTGGTATATAGATATAAGCATTTTTATTTATAAAACTGTGCCCGCTGGAAATTGTATAACTGTGAAGTTAGCGTACCCACTTTGTATGCCTCGTAACTTTTTTATTTTTTGAGAACTAACGTTAATATTGGAGAACTATCGAGAACTAACGAAGAACTAACGATTGGTATATAGATGTAAGCATTTTTATTCAAAAAAGTGTGCCCGCTGGAAATTCTATAATTGTGAAGTTGGCGTACCCACTTTGTATGCCTCGTAACTTTTTTATTTTTTGAGAACTAACGTTAATATTGGAGAACTATCGAGAACTAACGAAGAACTAACGATTGGTATATAGATGTAAACATTTTTATTCAAAAAAGTGTGCCCGCTGGAAATTCTATAATTGTGAAGTTGGCGTACCCACTTTGTATGCCTCGTAACTTTTTTATTTTTTGAGAACTAACGTTAATATTGGAGAACTATCGAGAACTAACGAAGAACTAACGATTGATATATAGATGTAAACATTTCTCATCAGGAAACGGCGTGCGCTAGAACCCGGAAGTGTGAAGTTAGCGTACCCACTTATTATCGGCTATAACTTTTTTATTTTTTGAGAACTAACGACAAAATTTGGGAACTATCAAGAACTAACGATGAACTAACGATTGGCATGATCAAAAGTGGATACGCTAATATGGGTACGCCAACTTCACGGACCTCTTTGATAAAGGTTTTTATGTTTTAATATTTAACATTGGAGAATTTAAACGTTGTTAAGTGCACAGGTGTGCTGCGATTGGGGTTTAATACATTTGGACTTTATTCAAAAGTAAAATAGTTTTCTGTGCTGCACTCTGTAGAAACACTTTGGCACTATTTCAAATCATGACTAATGCTAATACAGAATGTTGTAATTATTCAAACCTACAAAACAGTTGGTAAAAGTAAACATCTGCTTTTAAATTATATTTATTTGTAAACATTGTAGATCAAAAAGTCTGACATTAACCCACTTAAAACCCTCTGGGGCAGAGCCCTTTTGATAAATCTGCACCAAACTTCACTCGAACCATCCTTGAAAGATGCTTAATAATGCCTGAAAGTTTCATTACAATCTGTCGAGCGGTTTCGGAGTCCATAACGTATATACATACACACACACACATACATAGTTCCTCTTTTATAGATATATAGATGTTGATGTTAGCACACATGTCTAACATCCATTGGGTAGCATTTCCTTCCCACATCAAAACCATAATTGAATTTTTAAAATCTATTGTTAGAGTTATATCGTGTATGCAAATTACATAAATTTCACTTACGGGTATAGTATTTGAATGTTTTCTGAGGTAATTCAGACGATTAGCGTTTCTAAATAAAATTGAAATACAACCAAAACGTAAAATATTTTAGGTATTACAATTTTAAATAGTACTCAGACATATTCAAAATAATCTATCTAATCAACTTTCCCCTAATTAAAAAAAACACAAATAGTCCAAAATAGCCTTGGGTCAATACCGTAAGGCGTAATGCAATGCGGGTGATTATAAGATCGCCTGACCGAAGTGGAAAATGTCGTGTCGTGTAAGAAAGCATGCATGACCGTGGAATACAAGTGGAAAATCATTACACCACAAAAACTAATGAAAACCTCGCGGCAGTGTGCGAGGGGCAGTTGTGTCGGGCGGACTGTCCACTGCAGTACCATGATCTACATACTGTACAGGTATTGAGGTGCTACTTTATGCTGATCTTATCTCCCCCCCCCCCCACACTTCCTACGCCACACTTTCTTTACCCCTTCATGTATGTATGTGTGTACTGCGGGATAAAACGTGCCTTTCTTTAAATTCAGTGTAATGATTTGTTATTTTTTGGGGGTGATGTTTTTTTGTATTGCTAGTTAGGTCAGATTTTTTGTATCATTCTGGAACTTGGGATAAACTCAATAAATGGCAGGAGGGTATACATAAAAAATAGGTCGTGAAAAGTATACAATTTCATAAACTATATTTTATTCTTGTCTGTATAGTTATTGTGTTATTATTTCAATAAACGTTACAGAAACAGGTTGACATTAGTACTTATGGTTAACAAAAACACTTTTAACATTGATTTCATACTTAACAAATGTTGTCTTCCTAGAGGGTTAAACTCATCAAAAATTTAAAATACATGCGTTATAATTTTTAGCAAGATTGCAGACTAACAGTTTTTCCTTTTTTCTAGACATTCAAAAGCATAAATCTCTTAAATGTTTAATTTTAACTCTTATTATGACTCTAGATTTTAGTTGTTCAAATTACATTCGTTATTTTTTTAACCCTTGTTAAATAACCATCTGTGGAATTACTTTGGAACCATATCAGATGATTCATGTCAGCGTAAATGTTACAAAATCTTTACAGCATAGTACATTTTGCTTTGGTTGACACTGTCCGTGTGCTGATCTAAAAGGATCTATATACGATATAGATTGAAAGTTTTACACACTAAAGTTTAAGTAAGATCTGCTTCTCAAATTTATCTACCTCAAAAGAGTGTATCTTATACACCTACAGAGAGGCTCCAGTTTGAAAAGTTCAAATTATACTCTCGAAAATTGTCTAGTGCTTTGATTTTATTGAAATTGAATGAAATTGATCTTGCGCGAAAAGACTAAATTCCACCAATCTTACCAATATAGTTTATCTAACTTTTTACTAAGAAAAGAGATAACTTCTCCTCATAAGGGTTAGCTAAATAATTTTCAGTATTAAGTTCTACTACAAGGGCAGTGTGATAACAAAAAATTAAAACTTTACAACAAACTAACATATAAGCAATTATAAATTTTAATAAAAATATACGTGTGAATACTGACGCCATTTTAAAATGCATTAGGTAATACCACCTCCCCATTTAATCAATACAAAGAACTTATGCATTTATTCATACAGAATTACAATGTTCGGAGTAAAGACTTGATCAATGCAAGAGAACATGCAACACTTAAAAACTCGGCTACACAACTTGATTATTTGTTTTAACCCCAAAGTGTCACTAATGCCAATAAAATATTCTTTATGTTTTTGTAATATTTAGTTATAAACATCAACATTATAAAGGTACTTAAAAACAACGTGTAAAATTTCTACTAAGATCATTTCCTTGCATCATAAAGGTTGGGGTTTATAACAAATCTTTTATAAAAAAAAGAAAAAGAAATTTGATTTATTTAGCCTCACAATTAATTGTCTAGTGATTCAAATTCCACTAAGTAAAAACATTAATTAAGTTAAATTCCACAATGGAAATCTTCTATGGGATGATTGCAATTAACCAATAGTCTTTGAAGCTTAAATCTACAGTCCACGTTAAACTGTAGGCACAACCCAAGAAAAAAATATGTCTCTGCGTTTACTCAGTCCATTAGGCAGGCAGGTCACTGGGCAGGTTACCTGCCTCTGGTGTTTTTTAAGTTAATTGAGGCAGGTGACCTGCCGGCCGGCTTCATGAAAACGCGACTTTAGAGTATAGGACAACTTGTCTCTATAGATATAGATATTCCTCCATCAAAAGCAGTAAGATCTTATTTGTCCATTCATATATACCTTGTGTCACTGCATACAACATAAAAGCATACCCTAAACTTGCCTGTGTAGTCAAATGGTTAATACTGTTTTGAAATCTGGAAGCTCATAGTTTGATCAAAAGCGGTGATATTATTCTACGTCCAAATGACCATTTGTTAGGATATCAAAACAAAAGAGGTTGGTTAGAATATCAAACTAACAAATATTGATGTTAAATAGTATCAAGAACGTAACAAAATTTCTACCAGCAGTTAAATAAATGAGGAGACAATGTCATCCAGCATAGTCGCATGGTTGAACAGCAATCTTAAAAGTCATTGGTGGCTCGGCTCCAATCTGTGTATTCCAGCAGTCAAGCTTTTGTACTCTATGTGTTTAACATAGACCTGTATTTACCTCCGATTCTAACTTTTCGGCTCTTTTGGGTGCCTTCTATTTTAGGTAACCTATTAGCTCCAGTATTTATTCTATTACTGTACAGATGAGATAATTTTCATACTTTGCGTATTACATACTTGTTAGTTCAGGACAACTTATTTGATGTACTCTGTGTGTTCTAGGACTCCGGACATGTCTCCTCTCAACAACACTGTCCATCCCCTGGACCCCTCGCTCCCGCTGCAACCCCCCAAGAAGACCGGATGCTGTGGTCGGCTGTGTGACAAGCTGTGTTGCCGAACACCTGATAAGGTAAATCGATCTGGTAAAACACTGAAAAATGTTCCACTTGAGCAAGCTTGTCACTTGTCATAATGAGCACTTTTAAAGTTCCTTTTGTTATCATATGGTAATGGATTTGTTTAAACCTTAAGATAGTCTGTTTAAAACCATTTAGAGAGTCTTAAAACTGAAGTTCCGATTTTTTTCAAATTTTAAATTAAATGTTACAGCCTACCGAAGGTATAATCAGAAGCTGATTTTACACCATGATTATTACCATCTTCTATTTGATTTGGTGAATACAGCTCCACTATTCCACTCATAGTGTTTTGATCCTTGAGTTAACTAGTTTGTCCAACCTGACAAATATTAAATCAACTGTAAAGATTGTCAGTTTCTATACAATATTCTAAACATACAGGGTGATTGATATAAGTGTGCCAGCTGTTTTATTAGAAAGTTATAAGAGACTAGCTGTACCCGCGGGCTTTGCCCCGTTTAACTTCATAAGTATTCGCATAGCTCATTCACGTCCTGGTTGAACCACTCATAGTGTTTTGATTCTTGAGGTAACCAGTTTGTCCAACCTGACAAATATAAATTCAACTGTAAAGATTATCAGTTTCTATACAATATTCTAAACATACAGGGTGATTGATATAAGTGTGCCAGCTGTTTTATTAGAAAGTTATAAAAGATATAAAAAATGTTAAATTGTAACTGCCTTGGATTTTTTATTAAAAAAATGTTGGTCAAATTAAAAATAATAATCTATACGTTGGTTGGACTGTATATCTATTGTCTTGCATATGTTTACAGTTTAGTGTATACATATCAAAAGTTTTGCTAGACGTATTTGTTACTTGTGTATAAAAGCGCCAACGTAAAGTGGTGATAGTTATTTCCATCTTATAAACCATCTAAAATAGAGTGAAGAAAAAAATATATAAAACTGAATCTCTGCATCCTCTTTAGGTTTGTTGCTGCATAAAAACTCCAAACTGCTGCAGCGGGCTGGGCCGTGGACTGGGAGCTCTCTGCAGCAAACTAAACTGCTGCAAGAAGATGAATTGCAGCAGTTGCTGCGGAAAGACTGACACTAAAACGAAAAATAAACCCAAGCCTGCTCGGCAAAGGTAAATTAATTTTAAGTGTGTTGGCTTTTCTCAAAACACATTTTTAAGGCACAGTATATGATTCTTTTCAAACATTTACCAATAAAGTGACCGTATCCTTCTCACTGAGACGTGATTCCTGCATTCTTTTTACATCCAGTACTTTATATTAGCCCACATATTAATCTGTTACATCCCAGATTTCCAACTAAAATAGTTATTGTTATTAAGGAATCATAGTTGATTGATAAAAATAGCGAAGTATGTTACAACCATTAAAGTACAAACACTAGTATCAAACAATTTGATGATTCTTGGTTCATAAGTAAGACATTTGAACAAAATTGAAAATTCTTTTTTATGTTAAACTTTATTGGAGCTGCAGGAAAAGCAAGCTGTGTAGAGCTGTGTAGCTGTGTGAGGAGCTGTGTGGATTTGGGCACAGCATTGTACCTGTTCCATTTGATAACCATTGGTAAACATTTTTTCCAACTGTAGCAAATTACTACCTTAGCAATTATTACAGATACAACTGCAAAAGCTATTATGTATTTCAAATGATACAATCAAAGACTAACCAACACAAGTAGACTTCTCATCCCATTGTAAATTTTGAAGCTCGGTTTCCTGTCTAGTTTATGTCCGGTGACGCTGATCGCTGTCGACAAAATTTAGTTTCTATTATTTTAGGGTTATTTTAATGATTCCTGCTTTATTGTTCAGTTGTAACTAGAGTATGAGCTATTGTTTATGATTAGATCGTTTTATTTGGTTAAATGTTTTTTTCTTTAATAAGAAGATCAAATTGTTATCCTAACACGACCTCTACAGTGCACCAGACAGAACTAACGATAAAATTAGCTTCAGCTGTTCCATAAGGATGAGAAATCTACTAAAAGGGAGTATGTTTCATCTATGATACAATGTACAAATAACTTAATAATAATAATGTTAACTGTTCCAATAGCAGTAGACTACGAGACTGCTTGTCACGCCTGAACTGCTTCCGCTGGTCCACGTGTTGTCGCAAGAGACAACCCCCACCACCGAGGGATGAGGAGGAGGGGGACGAGGGGGGAGGCTGCTGTGACGGCTGCAAGTATCGCTCCTGCGGATGTTTCAGGTATGTATCAGCTGAAGAAACAGCTGATCGTACTCCATCATACACTCATCCAGTATTCACATTCACCGTGCAAATTGCACTGATGTCTTAATTAGGTAATTTTCAATGTCAACTTTTCAACCTTTTGAACGACTTTCTGCCAAGCTTTATTCAACTTTAAACAACTTACTATCAAACTTTGTTCTACTTATGATGTTTTCCTCCCAGGGCGTTGTTCTGTCTCAACCGAGCCTGCTGTCAAAGAATGCGGGCTTGCTGCAGATGTACAAGGTTTGGTTGCTGCAGATCAGGGGGATGCTGCGGTCCTACCCCTCCTGCACAGCTGGACCGCAGAAAAAGCAGACTCAGCGTCCGCAAGAGTCAGACCAGCATTACGGTGAGAACGTAAAACTGAAACACTTAGTTCTGAACTCCCAGACAGAGCTGGCCTTAGGCACGTGCAAAAAGTGCAGCCACACAGGGTACCTTTGGAGGCCCGCTCTTGCAAAATTCAAAAGAATTTCAAAGAGTGTCTGTATTTTACACCAGTTATGCTAATATTACAAAAAGAAAAAGGGGAGAGTATACTAAATTTATAGATTGAGATTTTGTTTAGTTTTTATTGTTAGATTACTAGTTCTTTTTTTTTTGTGGCCAGCTCTGCTTTCTGATTGCTAAAATTATGTGAGAAACAAAAGTCATCGTAGAGTTTGCCTTTGTGATATAATTACAGTTAAGAGCTTTATTCACCCCTGCAAAAACACTAAAAACATGCGTCGGGATTCCCTCGCTCCGGATGGAATGTGTTATTGTGTGTGGAATGTGTCCAGATCTAATGTTAAAAAATTTCCCCCTACAGATTAATGTTGATTCTAGAGCCCTCATACATGATATATCCAAGAAAATCAATACAAAAGAATCTTAAAAGTAACGTAACTTGAGTAACTTTTAAACATTGATAAAACTATTTTTTTTATTTTCAATTTATTGAGTTATAAAAGCAATAATATAACTATTAAACTACATTTTTACCAAGTTTTAAGAAAATCTGTTGAAAAACGGTGTCTGAAACGAGGGACGAAATAATTAACATGTTTTGATTGGAGGCTACTGCGCTACTAGCCTTTACCAAAACTTGGCTCAAATGGCAGATGAATCACGAAGTGTCGATTTAGTAGTTGTGTGTTTAGGATGTTTTCAGAATGGCGCACATAAATGAAAATATGAAAATCTACCTGTTGTGGTTGTGCATATCGGGTATGGAATTTGAATTTGTTTACAATGCAATTGGCTGTCTCAAATCCTGACACATGTGTCCAGCAATTTGTATAAATGCAAATAAATCCAACTTAACTACCATAACAATCAAAAACATTATTTGTACACCTAATTTTACCACCTTACAATACGACTGTTACAGCAAGGGATCCCCAAGCTAGATCCTACCTTGGTAGAACACCAGTCTATGATGCGAGGGGCCGTGCCTGTACTGCCTGTGCCTCTAGCCTGGCTGTGCTGCATCCTCAATGTCTTCCTGCCTGGTACAGGTACGATACAACATCGTAACACTTTGTTTAGTAGTGCTATAACCAAACTGAATAAAACATTTGTCTATGGAGAGGACTAGATGTAATAAATTTATATAACAAATACACCTCAAATAAGCAAAAAGAAAGCCTTCTTTATGCTTCTTTTACACTATAGGGATTTAGCCATCCGGTTGAAAACAGTACGATGTTACTCAGTTTATATGTTTCTGTTTCTATTACATTACATGGTTTCTAACTCTAACTGTACATCAAGATAAATGTGTTTATAGTGTTACAATAATTAATTAACAACTGTGTCTAAGGAATATGTCAGCCTTAGTCACTAACAAGACTACAAGATCGCGCCACTCATCCTACACTCATCTCCATTCAAACTTGGCTAAAATACCTACTTTGTATGGCCGCCATTTCATTAAAAAGTATTAAGTATTAATAATCATAAACAGTGTCCGATTTATAGGTTAAATTGTTTACGGCAAAAACCATATTGTGTGGAAGGAGAGTTGCAAAACTGATGTTAAAACCTTGCCCAACAAATCATCTGTCGAGAAAATTAATGTAATTTGATGATGATAAATTAATAAATGCAATCCAGCTGTGCAATAAAATATAGCGATGATTAGGAAGTCATTATTGGGAACCAAGAATTTATTCAAAGGTCATGTTTTCTAAAGTAAGAAAATCTGTACTACAGCTACATGATGAATGATGAATGGTTTGAGTAGCTGAGTGGTTAGAGTGTTCGCCTGACAATGAAAAGGTTGCTGATGGTTCGAGCCTGAGAAAAGTCAGTAGCCTTTTTGATGGTTTGAAACTAGACCCAGCTGTTTCTATCATTTGGCTTTAACTAAATTATCCTGGCTAATGAAACAGCTGATCTTAGTCATCCAGTAACAAAGCTATACACATGATGTCACTCCATTCTACATCACCTTGCTTATTATTTCCACCTCAAAATACGTACACCCACCTCCGATGACGGTTCAGTTATCAGGTCAAATATCAACGGGGAGGTTTTTAATGACAGATGTCAACCTATAGTTTGTATACCAATTCATTTTCTTATTACCACGACCTTTAAACCTTCCTAGGATACAACTGGTTTCAAAAAGGCAGTTTAGTTCTTTGATAAGATTTTTTAATAAAGTAGGTATAAATACACTACCACTAAAATATGCTAATCTTGTTGCGTTTAAGGAGGCACATCATCGTATTAATATTTTTATTTGATCATAGGCACATTATTGAGTGGAGTGTTCTGCATGTGTTTCGGCAAGCCGAGGTTCTCAGTGAACGACTCGTACCCGTCTCGATTGACAGCGTTCCTCATCAACCTGGTTGTGTCCGTGTCGCAACTCTTCACCGTCATATTCTGTCTGGTCGGATGGGGTTGGAGTATTTGGTGGGGTGTGATGATGGTACGCTTTGCAAGTGAGTATCTCAAGTTACATCCTTAGAAAATACCGAGAGAAAATCTTTAATTGTGAAAGAAACATGTTATTGTTTTTAAGAACTAGGACAGAGTCATGTACCATCTAGAAACTATCCATGTTCTTTTGAAGTCCTATAAGTAACATTAGGTGAAACTGAAATAAGTAAATAACTGTTTTCAATGCCATTGTTGTACATTGTTACAGGAAAAAATAAAAGGATTCAACTGGCAGAAAGAACAGGCGGAGACCAACCAGCGGCTGCGCCAGTGGCGGTCAATCAGAATCATGATGTAGAGAGAGCTCGATAGCGAAATAGACTAAGAAACGGATACAGATTTTACAGGCTGCGTCCATGTGGTTCAACTTAATGTTAATGGTTAACATCTCGTTGTGTTGACACAAAGAAATATGATATTTAAAAAATGCTGCATTTCATCAAAATTTACAGAGATTAACCATATGTTTTATAAGATTACTACATTGATTTGATTTGACCATCCTTTCCTTTGTGGTGTGAGTAACCGTAAGTCCTTTGAACTTACTTATAATGGCTGGTAATAAAAAGGGATTATATATTTTTTTCATATTTTAAAACAATCAATGATTTAAAACATAAAATTAAATTTACCACTAAGTTTTATGAAATTTGATTTTCTTTAAACAACTTTGTGGCAGAGCAAACAAAAATATTTAAAAAATTAAACAAATGAATATGAACTGCTAAATAAAATCGTTACACCTCTTAAAGCTAAATATTATAGCATACAGTAGTGTACGAAGAATTTATTGTTTTTACTCGTACAATGATTGAATACTATGCCTAATAAAGAGTTCATGTCAGCTTCTATTTTTATACATAATTTGCCACTGTTGGATTTTATATTTCTGGTAACATATTTTGGTCAAAACCTTCTTGTCTACTTATGTCTAATCATTTATCATTTATAGTATTTAAATAATCATAGAGACCTCCCTTTTTGATACACTGCTGGTCAGTGTGATATTTGTATAACTCCGAAGAATTAATATTTTTCTACAACCACACCTTTATGTATAGCTTTCCTAATTTTAAAGTTAGTTTTTTAGTAATATTAGTTTAATTGTAAATGTTTTTTATTATTATACTTACTAACCTGTAGCATTTATAAAACCTACTTAATGTCAATTTATATAGCTGTAGTGTTGATATTTTGTATTATTTGTATTTATTTATATTGCTTATTACAACTAAAACTGTTATACCTCATACCTTTTTTTGTTGATAATTATAGGATTATTGAAAAACTATAAAAAAACCTATCGCTACTGCCTCTGTTTCATAAATTAAAAAAAAATAAATACTCATTTCAACAATTTGTTTAAGGGAAAGTAGTATTATTGATAGTAATAATAGAAGTTTTTCTGAATTATAATTTTGGTAAATCAGGTATACCTAACTCTTTGTTTATCTGCCCTGCATTGGTCAATATTGTTTTCCCCACAATATGAAGTATTTCAGCTTTAGTGAAATTATTATCTAAAAATTAAAGCTGTAACAAACAAATGCAAATTTTGTTGCATATTATTTATCTTACTGAAACGCAAAGTTACAATACTGGTATAAGTTTTTCTTATGAATTTTGTATTCTTAAACAAAAACAAGATATTTAATTAGTTCCTAGTTTGGTATATAGAGGTTGAAACAGTTTTGTACAAGGTGAGGCAGTGAGAGCACTCCGATTTTATTTCGTTATTGTCACATTATAAGTAAAGCAACAATGAATGAACAGCTGTGCTTATAACATCTATCAAACTATGCAATTTTAGTAAACATTGTGCCTGAGGCTTGTAACACTGAGATTTTGATGTAGGAAGCAGGAACCTATTTGTAAAAAAGTGGTTCTTGTGCAAACACCTAGAGATTGTTTGGACCACATATCCTATACTTGGTCAATATGGCGCTGTTCCAGATTGGAAAACAATAGGGAACTTGGTTAAACTATTTAGGATAACAGCTTAAAACATAAAAATAATCGCTGGCGGGGGTGCCACAAAACTCTTTGTGCACCAGCAAATGTTGTAAGAGTATGAGTCGCAGTAACTCAAAGTCCAAAGAGGTTTGCCAGAATGCTTTCCTTGTTGGAAGCTTTATGTTGGCTCTTTGCTTTTTTTGGGGGTTCTCCCTATAAGCTACTTGAAATTTAAGTTTTTTCAAAGTTGCCCTAGAGATTTTTCTTAAATTTTCAAGAAACTCAAGTGATTCCTAAAGACATTTTGGAAGGAGTATTGGATGGTGTTTTCAAGTGACTGAAAAGGAATGTCAAGTAGGACAAGAGGACTTCAATTAAAGGATTTTGTTTCCAAGAAATGGGAAAAAATGACTTTGTTAAGTTAATATGACAAAAGATAAGCTGTGTTTTGGGGTTTTGATGTGCTATTTATATGTATAGGGTAAATAGTATTGAGTTTGTACTATTTATAAATTGGGGCGCTTTCATTGTCTCACCCCGTATTACAGCAAATTGTTTGATTATTTATCTCCAAAATTCTTATAAGTGTTATTCCCTAAACATGTTTAGGTCTACAATAATATGAGTTGCTGTTTCCATTATTTCTTGTATAAAACACAATATCTGTTGTCAATCCAAAACTTGACAAATGTTTTATAGAATGAACTTTTAAAGTATACTCTTATGGAATGAAAGTAACATACAAATGTGAACATCTTTAATGGAAATTAAGAGATATTCTGCACAACAAAACAAAACTAACTTAGAGCTTAGAATAATTAAATAGTTGTAATAATCAGTCTTCCGTCAGTTAAAAATAAAATTTGTAAAAGTCACTTTTATATTTGTAGATTATAATTATCGTTGGCATTGTATATAAGATATTTTCCTGTATTTTCTCAACACTTGTTTTATAGGTCATACTACCACTTAAGTGAAAGAATTGTTGGTTTTAATTAAAATCCTAACATTACAATAATACTGGATATTTTACTCTCCTCTTAAATGTTATTCTTTTACATTGTTCTTCCTTATCAATCTGAGGCGTTCTTCATAATATATTTTAATATTTTTCAGTTTAATGAATTAATCTAAAAAACATATTTGCTTTTGCATTGAATACTATTATTGTACAAATATGTTATATTTTTTACTGGAGAACATACATTTATGCACCTATATGTTATTAGCAATTTATCCTATAGGGAATTACGGTAAGACCATTCGGAACTGATTTACTTTTTCATGTCCCCAGAAACACTATTTATTGTTCAAATTTTGTTATAATGTACATACAGGGTGGCTGGTCATCAGTGTTACAAAAATTTGTTTGTGTAATTACAAAGTTAATGAAGTGTGATGATGTATATAAGAGGTTTCAAGTGTAATAAAAATTGGCTTCTAAAATAACAATGATTTTAAACACACAGCAATTTATCAATTACCTGCAAACAGATTTGAGTAGATGATGTCATTTTCGAGTTCTACATTAAATTTTGAAAAAGAATCATTGAAAATGTTGGAGAATCAAATAGGCCTAATAATTAAAACTCCAGTGTAGTGTAAATAGTTCCAAAGATTGAGGTCTTAGATAAAAAAAAACATTGGTCTATGGATTGATACATCTTTATACAAGAAGGTAGCAAGATATGTTTAAAACTGCGCCATTTTATAAGCTTCTCAACCATATGCTGGTAACACTATTGAGGTTAGCGTCACGGACTTCGGACGGTTTTTACTCAGGGGAGGTATAGAAGAGGCTACGATGACAGCTGAGGGCTTCTTATTAGCTGAGGGAACGCAATTACCGTAACAAAACGTTCGTTAGCCATCGGCCTCGGTGGTCTAATGGTTAGCGTGCCGGGCTGATATACTGTAGGTCCCGGGTTCGAATCCCACTGGTAGCATTAACTTTTTGCCCAAGATTTTTTTATTATCAGCAAGTTTGGTTGGTTTGGTTTGGTTATTACAGTTTAATTTTATTATTAAGTCATTATAAAATTTTAACTGAGCAATTTCTAGTTTTATTTAATAAACAGAATTATTTTTCCGATTACTAAACTGTTGTTATATTATTTCTTTATCAGCAAGTTTGGTTAGTTCGGTTAGGTTATGATAGTTTAATTTTATAATTAAAAAAAATAGTAAAATTGAATTTGAGGCATTTATCATTTTATTTTATGAACAGAACTATTTTTGAGATTAGTAAACCTTTATTGCCAAAGTGCTCTCTACTACAGCGCTGTTCACGGAGGAATTTTGAACTAAATGCCTCATTTGTACCTCCCCTAAGTCAGACCCACTTCGGACCCAAAGCAGCAATGTCGTGGGTTCGGATCCTGGTCACTGCCACAAACCATGTAGCACCTTTGTACGGTACCGGCTCACGCTCACCGCTTACTTTGCTTTATACGTTCCACCATAGATAAAAAATACTCCCTTAGTAGATTTCTCATCCTTATGGAACAGCTGAAGACAATTTTATTGTTAGTTCATGTACGGTTTATGTAGAGGTCGTGTTTTGTTTACAATTTGTTTCCCGTTATTACAGCCATTTAAAACCTTGTTTAAACAAATAATACGATCTAATCATAAACAATAGCTTGTCCCCTAGTTATATAACCAAACAGTAAAGCACAAATCAAGAAATTAACCCTAAAATAATGGAAACAAAGTTTCATTGACACTAGCGCCTTTGTGTCACGTACATGAACTAGACACGAAAAACGTGCTTCAAAATTTACAATGGGATGAGAAGTCTCATCCCACGGTTCAACGCACGGGCAAATAGTCTATGTGGACGGACAAATGCAAGGTTGAAACAGGCCGCCAGCCTTTAAAAAATTGTAACTGTAGAATCTTATGTCATAGTACTAAAAACTAATGGAGATGAAAATCCAAAGAGAGCAGCCATAAAGAAGTAAATGAGCCTCAGCTGCTCTCTGTGACTACAGCGCTCGCTCATGCTGTAGGAAGACCCTATGTGATAAACTGCTGTACAAAGATGCAATATGACCATCTCCAATCGGGCTCTTCCTTCAAATTCAAATAGTTTATTGCTAAGTATACATATCATACAATAGGCCAGGTCAATGGAGATATACAATTAATTCATATATTGATAGTACTGTACAATGTAAATGTACAGAGTCAAGTGTATGATGAACATACTATACTAATAAACTAATAATTCTGGTTTTTATATAAAAGTAATTGAAATATATTCATAATGATTTTTTCACCTAGGATGCTAGGCAAACCCAGGACCTCAGGGACTAACCAGAACAGCTAGCTCCCCCCGATACTGTTGATAGTCATGTGGGCAAGTTGGGCATGGGCCTATATAAAACTTTAGGGGCTAAAATAAGCAAAGAGACACATAAATAAATGTTAAAATAAAATAGACAGTCCTAGCTCATTACATGTACATTTCCGCTCCAACATGAGAGAGGTAAAAGCGTACGGTTGTCACTTAAGCTTGTATCATTTGTATCTTACATCTCTGTGGAGCAGCACACTCTGAAAGAAACTATTTAAAATCTACTTGAATAGAAAATTTGTCCCAATTCAATTCCATAGTCGATCCATAAAGATGATAAACCTATGTGGGGTAGAACAGAGTAATCAATGGTATATCAGATTACAACATACAGAACTAACAGAATAGCTGCATAGCACCCACAGCTATTTAACTCCCTGTATTGAGATAAAATCCAGCCAGAACTTTCGCGCCTAAACTAATGTACAATGCATTTCGAGGTCGGTCGCCACTCGGTAGTCGGTAGTATTGTCTGTCAAAACAAAATCAAAAAGAAACTAAAGAAAAAGAACCAAAACAAACAGACGACGAGGACGAGGACGAGACGAATACGAATACAACAACTTACTATGAAAATCGTACTGATTTCTTTTGGTTTGTGTTTCTATTTCTATTAAGGTATTCTTTTTGGGAAAAGGAAAAGGTATGTAATAACTAAAATAAAAATAAATGTATTTAGAGTTCTTTAAGTGATCAATTTCTCAATGAATCTTACGGCGACTTCTTTTCTAAGTGAAAACATAGCTAGATTGTATTTTACTCCAGTCCTATGATGCTAAATTTAGTCTAGTCTAGTCTAAGCCTATCTCACACAGAATAATAACTTACTAGTGTCCCTGTTGCTCGAATTCGAGCAATTGCTAATTATTAAAGGCGTTATTTTAAAACGAATAACAGTCATAATTTCTGATGACTTTAAAAAATTCAACTCAAAGATTTTGGAAATACTCATGATGCAGGTAGGCCTACATAACATATTAATATAATCACAATTTCTTGTAAATATCTTATCACTTTTTTAAAAGCTGAGCTTATTTTTTAGCGTTTTCTACAAATAGCCTTACTCGTAGCCGCATTAGGTTACCCATAATAACATTATAAATATAAAAAAAACATTTCTATTTCTTCTCCTTGGTGGTGTTCTACGACTTTCCTACGGTTCCATAGTTTGCAAATGGGCTCTTTCAATGATTAATAAGAAATGCAGCACAGTGGTAATTCAGTTTTCTTTTTTAAGATATCAATTTATCCAGGCTCTCTCACCATTTTTCCATTGTAATATTTACGCCAACCCAAATTCAAATAGTAAACATTTCATTTCAACCAAGTCAGTAAATGTTTGTAGCAAACTGTTAAATTAGCAAACTTGTTAACGGTTTACAACATATGTTCTTCTTCTCACTTTTAATTTCTGACAACAGCTGGAGTTTCATAACAATTTTTGTTTCCCATGTTAATCTTATGGAGAAATACGAAACTTTAAAGGGCCCCAGGGCCTCACTCTCTAATTATTTCCCTAAAAAGAAAGTTTCCTGCACAACTTCACGCTACGCTCTTTCCAATGAGACCAAAAACATGTCAATCGGTTCAGTAGTTTCGGAGGAGTAATTGTCACAAAAATCCTGCTTGCGCATTAAATAAGTATAGATGTATACACAACTCACAAATACTCACATACCTTCCACCATGACTCAAGAAAGCAAAATAAGTCTCTTCGTTGGATAGATTATAGGCTAGGCCTAGCTCTTTCCTTGCTTAAGTGATAACATAATGACCAAAAGATTTATGCTAGGCTTTGTCAGGCTCAAGTTTGAGTATTTTAATTACATAATTATAGAAAAGTTAGTAGGCCTCCTAGCCTATTTTCCTTTTCTACCATAATGTTTCTTAACTTATAGGCCTGCCTATCATGCCTACTTTCCATCCCCCCATAATTTTTGGTTATGTGCTAAAATTAGGCCTAACTTACTTGTATGGATTCAATAAACAAATAGGCCTAGCTGTAGGCCTACAAGGTTAATTAGCCATTTTGTTCTTAGGCTAGGCCTATCTTATTAAGCTAATAACTTATCGCTTGACATTTTCTTTTACATCCATTAAAATATTTCATTCGAAATATTGTAGCCTAAGTATTGGATTGAATACTGTATGGCAAATTAAACTTTTGAATTGAACGCATTGTTTTTCATTAAAAGTGTTGTGGATGTGCTGGGAATTGAACCGGTTTTGCCATTCCTTGCTGCAAGCAATCGTTAAATTAATAAGTTAAGTGCAGAATCAGAGAGCGAATATATTTTGGAGCAGACTACAAGCTCAAAATCGTTACGGCACAAAATACTGTAGCCTATGCCCGACTATCTCATGTTCAAGTCACTGAAAAGCAGTGCTTGATTTGTAAAATATGAGTTTCCGAAACTGTTACTTAACCAATGTGATTAGTAAGTTACCTAATTACCGTATGCCAAAATTGTTATCTATCCGAAACGTCCCCTCTGCCCCCTTAGGTCACTGAACTTAGTTACATCATCTGGTAGACACCTTTATAAGTTAACTTTGTCTGTTTGTTTCAGCCCAGGGGACATTCATTTTCCTTCTCTGGCAATTAACTGAAGATTATTGAAAATGGTGGACATAGAAAATATAAGAGAATCAGAGTATGACTCTCAACTGTTTGGTTTTACCGTAGAACATTTTATACACGCCTGTAAGTACAAAGTTACTAAATAATAGTTAACAATGTTTCTTCATAATATTGCCAAACGGCTTAATCATTTTCAAAATAAACTTATCACACACTTTTATAGAAATTTCTATATTTCGGCATTAGCCTTCTTCAGGAACAAACACAATAACAAATAGAAGTGTTTACCACTCTGAATCATATGGTTTTAGCAAAAATCCAAAATACATATAATTTATGAAGAAGTAAAAAAGAAAATGTTTTGATAGAAAGAAAGAAAAAAAATTTATATATATATGTATATATATACTATTTCAAATTTAGACCGGAAGGTGTTTTAGATTTAAGTATTAATTGATGAGCTTGCTCAAGCTGTCTTAATTTCAAGTCTGGTGCGTCTTTTGCCAATTTTCTTATTCCTTTTAATGAATAACATTGTTCAAAATTTTGAGAATGCTCTCTCGCATGAATAGCCACAGGTTTTTGTTTATCAGGATGGTTTACATCATATCTGTGGCCATTCATACGAACTCTTAGAGCATTGGTGGTTTTGCCAATGTAGTCTTTAGGACAATTTTTGCATGAAATTTGGTAAATTACATTAGTAGACTCACAGGTGATGTTACTATTTATGTTATAACATCTTTTTGTTTGCCTGCTTGTGAAAGTTTTTGATGGGATGATTAATTTGCAAGTGGCACATCGTGGTTTGTTGCATTGATTACAGCCCGAAGGTTTTGCTGATGGTTGGAAAGTGGGAGGTAGTTTGGGTTTTGAAAGAATGTCTTTTAAGTTAGGAGCTTTTTTGTATATTAGTCTTGGGGGTTTGGAAAACAAATTATGGGTCAGAGGTGAATTTGAAAGAATATTATGTGCCACTCTTAAAACATTATTAACTTTGTAAAGGCCAGGAAAGTATTGGGTGATGAATTTTGGATCTTTTTTGAAATTATCTGTGTTAGGATTTTTTGAGCTTTTTATTTGACTGTCTATTAAATTTTTAGGATAACCTCTTCTGTTAAGTGAATTGCTGAGTTTTTCAATATAATTTTGGTAATCACGATTTTCAGAACAAAGGTTTTTTGCTCGTATTGATAGGCTTTTTGGTATGGATTTTTTAATGTGTGCAGGATGACAGCTTGAGTAAGCTAAGTAATCCATTGTATTCGTATCCTTTACATGGATTTTGGATTTTAACATACCATCTCTAACAAAAACGTCAACATCCAAAAAAGTAACAATATCTTTTGAGAAGTTCCAGGTAAATTTAAGGATTGAGAATTGATTTAGATTTTCAAGGAAAGTTTGCAGGTTTTCTAGTCCATGTTCCCAAACCATGAAAATGTCATCAATAAACCTATACCAAATTGAAGGTTTCAACATTTGTGAATTTAGAAAAAGTTCTTCAACATGCCCAACAAATAAGTTTGCAAAAGAAGGTGCCATACGTGTGCCCATAGCTGTCCCTTTCACTTGAAGGTAATTTTGATCAAGGAATTTAAAATTGTTCATGGTTAAAACAAAATGAATTAAGTTTATAATAAAATTTGCACTAGGTTTGGAGTTAACTGGACGTTTTTCTAGGTATTTCTTTACAGATTTTTCTCCTTCTTCATGTGGGATGTTAGTATATAGTGAAACTACATCAATTGTCACCAATATAGTATTGTCCGTTAGTGGGGTGTTTAAGTTCTTAATTTTATTAAGGAAGTCTTTGGAGTCTCTTATATATGACGGTAAAGTTTTCACTATTGGTTGGAGGGTGTCATCAACGAATGCTGAAATCCTTTCAGTGGGTGATCCATATCCAGATACGATAGGTCTTCCAGGTGGTGGTCGAATGGGTTTGTGGACTTTAGGTAAAAGATAAAAAATTGGTGTTCTTGGATTTAGAGGGCTCAAAAGTTTTATAGTTTCTTGACTTAGGTCTTCATTTGGTCCATATTTTTGCAAAAATTTAGAAATGTCATCATTGAAAGTTAAGGTAGGGTCATTTGGGATTTTTTTGTAGAATTCAGCGTCATTCAGTTGTCTTTCTGCTTCTTTTATATAATCTTCACGATTCAAGATTACTGTACTGTTGCCTTTATCTGCTTTTACAATTATTATGGAAGAATTTTCTTTCAATGAACGTATAGCTTTTCTTTCATTTTTTGTAAGATTATCCTTTGAATGTAGTGAGGATTCAAATTTAGGATCAGAAATGTTGGAGATTACAGTATTAATGAATTGCTCTACTGGATGGTCAGGAGGAAGAGGATCAGGTTCCCAGTTTGATTTAGGTTTGAATTTATCCAAGCAATTGGGCGTTGAACAATTTGGACTGTGAATTTGGACTGTGTTTGGCTGTTGTTTAATATAATATTGTATTCTGACATTTCTAGCAAAAGAGAGACCATCTGCGACAAAATCAAAGTGATTAAACTTGGGACGTGGAGAGAAAGTGAGACCTTTATTGAGGACAGAGATTTCATCTACATTCAGAACATATTTAGATAGATTCATTACATTTCCCTCAGTTTTAATTTGTTCTTCATTTAGGTTAGGAGTACTGTTTATCTGTAGGTTGTTTACAAGTTCATTTTGGACAATGGGATGCTGAAAATTTGTTGTATTAGGTTGCTGAAAATTTTGTGTATTGGGTTGCTGAAAATTTTTGTTTGGATCTGAATTTAATAATCCTTTAAAACTGGTATTTGGGCATAGCCCAATATTGGAAGAGGAATCAAACAAGGTTTTCAATTTTTTGTTTAGATTTTCACATCTTTTAGTTTTCATTAATTGGTTTTGATCGTCAATTTTACGTTTTTCATTGATCACATCATGTTGAGGTGGTATGAGTTTATAAAGATCAATCAGTTGTTGTTCATACTCATTCTTTAGTGATTTATACTCTTCTGTTACTAGTGTTGTAAGTTCTAGACTTGTTCGTATAGAGAAATCTGTGATTTTACCTCTAACTTGAGGAGGAACACCAGTGAGAGGTATTTTAGGTCTAAGACCTTTTGGAGCAAAACCGTAGTTCAAACAAGATGTCATAAATAGTATATGACATTCAAGAGTAATAATTTTGTTAGAAAAATAAGAATATTGATTGAGAAAAAAAGATTTTGAATCAAGATTAGCCATATTTGAAAACAGAGTGATAATACAAAATAAAAAGTGTGTAAAAAGATAATTACCAAAAGGTTTCAACATTGTTTCTTCATAATATTGCCAAACGGCTTAATCATTTTCAAAATAAACTTATCACACACTTTTATAGAAATTTCTATATTTCGGCATTAGCCTTCTTCAGGAACAAACACAATAACAAATAGAAGTGTTTACCACTCTGAATCATATGGTTTTAGCAAAAATCCAAAATACATATAATTTATGAAGAAGTAAAAAAGAAAATGTTTTGATAGAAAGAAAGAAAAAAAATTTATATATATATGTATATATATACTATCTCAAATTTAGACCGGAAGGTGTTTTAGATTTAAGTATTAATTGATGAGCTTGCTCAAGCTGTCTTAATTTCAAGTCTGGTGCGTCTTTTGCCAATTTTCTTATTCCTTTTAATGAATAACATTGTTCAAAATTTTGAGAATGCTCTCTCGCATGAATAGCCACAGGTTTTTGTTTATCAGGATGGTTTACATCATATCTGTGGCCATTCATACGAACTCTTAGAGCATTGGTGGTTTTGCCAATGTAGTCTTTAGGACAATTTTTGCATGAAATTTGGTAAATTACATTAGTAGACTCACAGGTGATGTTACTATTTATGTTATAACATCTTTTTGTTTGCCTGCTTGTGAAAGTTTTTGATGGGATGATTAATTTGCAAGTGGCACATCGTGGTTTGTTGCATTGATTACAGCCCGAAGGTTTTGCTGATGGTTGGAAAGTGGGAGGTAGTTTGGGTTTTGAAAGAATGTCTTTTAAGTTAGGAGCTTTTTTGTATATTAGTCTTGGGGGTTTGGAAAACAAATTATGGGTCAGAGGTGAATTTGAAAGAATATTATGTGCCACTCTTAAAACATTATTAACTTTGTAAAGGCCAGGAAAGTATTGGGTGATGAATTTTGGATCTTTTTTGAAATTATCTGTGTTAGGATTTTTTGAGCTTTTTATTTGACTGTCTATTAAATTTTTAGGATAACCTCTTCTGTTAAGTGAATTGCTGAGTTTTTCAATATAATTTTGGTAATCACGATTTTCAGAACAAAGGTTTTTTGCTCGTATTGATAGGCTTTTTGGTATGGATTTTTTAATGTGTGCAGGATGACAGCTTGAGTAAGCTAAGTAATCCATTGTATTCGTATCCTTTACATGGATTTTGGATTTTAACATACCATCTCTAACAAAAACGTCAACATCCAAAAAAGTAACAATATCTTTTGAGAAGTTCCAGGTAAATTTAAGGATTGAGAATTGATTTAGATTTTCAAGGAAAGTTTGCAGGTTTTCTAGTCCATGTTCCCAAACCATGAAAATGTCATCAATAAACCTATACCAAATTGAAGGTTTCAACATTTGTGAATTTAGAAAAAGTTCTTCAACATGCCCAACAAATAAGTTTGCAAAAGAAGGTGCCATACGTGTGCCCATAGCTGTCCCTTTCACTTGAAGGTAATTTTGATCAAGGAATTTAAAATTGTTCATGGTTAAAACAAAATGAATTAAGTTTATAATAAAATTTGCACTAGGTTTGGAGTTAACTGGACGTTTTTCTAGGTATTTCTTTACAGATTTTTCTCCTTCTTCATGTGGGATGTTAGTATATAGTGAAACTACATCAATTGTCACCAATATAGTATTGTCCGTTAGTGGGGTGTTTAAGTTCTTAATTTTATTAAGGAAGTCTTTGGAGTCTCTTATATATGACGGTAAAGTTTTCACTATTGGTTGGAGGGTGTCATCAACGAATGCTGAAATCCTTTCAGTGGGTGATCCATATCCAGATACGATAGGTCTTCCAGGTGGTGGTCGAATGGGTTTGTGGACTTTAGGTAAAAGATAAAAAATTGGTGTTC